GGAACTCGACTGCGGTAAAATAATGCTTGTCGACTACGTTAAGCTCTGGCAAGTCATTAAGAGCCCAAATGACCAGAGAGCCCTTTAAAACTGTCTGTACTGACTGCAAGCGTGTTCTGAGAAATGGCTTATAAACTTCAATATGCAGAATTGTGCCGTCCTTCATCTACTTCCAATCAACCTTCAGTCAAATGAGAGCCTGAGGACATATCACCTGAAAGAAGTTTGGATACATAGCAACATGAAACTAACACTGAAGTGCAACAAGACTGTAAAAAGGTCATGGTAATTCTTAATGTAATTAAAATGGCTTTCGTAGTCTTTGACAGTGACCTCTTTAGAAGAGTTTACGGGAACCTTGTTCGGCCCCACTTGGAATATGGCATACAAGCGTGGCGGCCATGGCTAGTAAAGGATCAAACATGTCTTTAAAGAATACAACGTCGTGCAACAAAGCTGGTTAACGGTTTATAAAGCCAATCCTATATAGAAAGACTGACTTTCCTTGATTTATTCCCTCTGTGTTCCAGGCAGCAAAGAGGCGATCTTATTTTAGTTTACAAGATGATACATGGCCTTGAGCGTGGAATTAGCTTTGACAGCATGTTTCAGTTGCACGTTTCAGCCAATATTCGTGGTCACTTGATGAAGCTACGGGCGAAAATGACCAGACCGAGTCTTCGTTCTAAATTTTTCACACAAAGGGTAGTCGAGAAACGGAACGACCCCCCTCAATCAGTTGTGGAGGTGACATCTCCGCAACTGTTCAAGAAACGTTCGGATGATGATTTATGTCCCCTGTTTTCCCTCGGCAGTTTGAACCTGAGCCAAATACCCGCGATCTCTCGGAGCGTTTTTATTTGAAACAGTGCTACTCAAATGAATCAAGTGTTGCTTTAATAGCGACAATTTTCATTGTTCATGTACGGTTGTATCTAACGGGGTAACATGTAATCAATAGGATTTCCAAAGGCCTTACCTACTATTCTTACCAAATAAATTGAAACTGCCACTTAAATCTGAAGAAGACGACAAATGGGATATCCGAAATGAAGTTTCCACGCGCAAGAATAGACCACTAGGTTCTCGGTCTGACATCAGTAAACGCGTTGTCATAAAGGGCATGTCTGTGTCTGCTTCCGACAACCGAAGGATATAATAAACTATGGCAGAAAAATATTCCACTGATATATCAGCCCCCTTTGAGAAGGAGACAAGAGAGCCACCGTACTGAGGACTTTCAGGGCGGATTGAGTAAAAGACTCGGAGGATGAGTCAGGCCGGTCTTGTTTGAAGCATGTCATCCAGGCCTGCTGGCCGTGGTCCAGGCAGGACTATCAGCAGTTGGAACGCATGCAAGGGAGGACCACGAAAAAGGCCAAGATTCTTGACCATCTGCCTCACGAAACCGAACTGGCTGAAATTAATTTTTTACACTTACTTACAGGCAACTGCGCCACGACCTCATTCAAACGTGCCGATTGTCAAAGGTCGTGAGTGTGCCACAGATTTTGATGACATCTTCAAAATGGCTAGGATAAATAATCCACTCGGTCATCTATTTAGATTGCAGAGGAAAAGGCCGGTACTGGTGTCCAACGAAACGCCTTCTTACAGAGGGTCGTTGGAGAGCGGAACGAGCTCCCTGACGTGGTGCTCCCTACAAAACTGTTGAAGCATTTAAATGCAACCACGAAACCCACTCGCTCACAAGTGCTGTGCATATAATCAAGATTATGCCAGTTGCGCTGATTTGCGCCCGGCTCAGACATACCGATGGCTTTACAATTTCCATACTTACTGCTAAAAATGGATTTTATTGCTACTTTTGAATATGGATAGGGAGCACAAGGGTGAAAGTTTTATTTTCTTAATAGAGTGGCTTGAGGTGACATAGAACTAGGGCATGTTGTGTGTGAAGAATCTTAAGCGTTTTCTTTAGGAAAAAATAATCGAAGACTAACCTCTCAAATTTCGCTCGCACATCCTCTCATCAAATTTAGGGCTCATTAAAGTCACCCAAAAGAGCTGCACTAAATCTAATGACGACCTCCTTTATGTTCTCCATCAGGCAAATATTTGCGCCGAGATCCGTCCTCGGTAGTTGGTAGGTAGTCTTAACTTCAAGGGGGTGGGACCCTCATGATTTTATTGTTGACCAAATAACCCCCGTATTATCGTTAATTTTCTCGGTCCTCTCACATGCGATTACTTTGCTTTTTTAGATCCATGACAACTCCCCAACCCTGGTTGTCTTTTCTGTCTGTTCTAAACAATTTATATCATTGTAGCGCTTTTTCATGATCATCTACGCTGTACGATAGCTACGTTTCTGTTAATGCTATGACGTCTAGAGACTTACTGGCTATCTGTATTTTGAGTTCGTCAGGCTTCGAAGCCAGACTCTGGACTGTGGTATATGAAAGTTTGAGTTTAGGGCATTTGGCGGTGTTAAGTTCAGTTGGCGTCGGACTTGTCACTACCACGTTGCCTCTGCCATCATTAATACTGGCTGGTTTCATAACGTTACCTTCTTGCTCTGTATTGTCCGTTCTCCGAAAATAGGTAGGTTAATCTCCCGAACTCTAAGTCTCCTTTTCAGTCCTGCCGCCAATTTGCGATATTTCAGTTGTTCCGATGGCAAGACGTCCAAATGAAAAAGCCTTTTCATGAGAGAACCAGAGGTAGGTTTTTCTGTACACAAGCAAATTAACCTCTTTTTTTGCTACCTAAAATAATCCTAATAGATTGTGATTACACAGTTTCCGACTGCTCGCTAATCCCTTTTCAGATCCCAATGTCGGGACAAACGGCTTCTTTCTCCTTCGGGAAAATCATGAACGGAGCCTGCAAGAGGGACTGAACCGCCTATTCGAATGGTCTGACGAATGGCCGCTGAAGTTTAACCTTGAGAAGCGCGTCGCGCTGCGACTCAAAACGGCCGGAAGAGCCAATGTAGAGGGTCACCATTACCTGCTTGGTGGAAGGAGCCTTTTAAATGTAATCGAACAAAAAGATCTTGGGATCGACATTTTGTCGACATTTAAGCCTTCCTCTCAGTGCGTTAGAGCGGCCAAAAGGGCAACCGGTGTTCTTTTTCAATTAAACGAACTTTCATAGACATTGACAAAGAGTGATCTGGAGAAGTATACGGAGCGTTCATTCGTCGCATCTGGAATATGGGATCTAAGCGTGGCACCCGTGGGTTAAAAATGACTATAAGTTGCTGGAAAGAGTTCAGAGCAGAGCGACCAAAATTGTGAAAGGCCTCAGGACTTTACCTTACAACTGCAGACTTAGTGAACTTAAACTATTTCCTCTTGAGTACACGCAGATTCGAGGAGATCGCATACAAACTATCTGATATTGAGGGACCGGGACTGTGCCCTAAACCTCGACAATTTTTTCACCCTGAACACAACAACAAACCTGTATGGGAACTCACTAAAACTTAGAGGATCCCGGTGCCGCCTGGACGTTAGCAGATAATCTTTTTCACAGCGAGCCGTCAGTGTCTGGAAGGGGCTTCCCGAGGACGTAATACCACGGAGACAATCAAGCAAATACTAAATGTATATTTGCTTGGAAAGTAACGCTTGTCTGGGCAGAACAGCTCTGTGGTGTCAAACCAACGACTTGCATACACCTACCGCTAATGCGGATGACTGTCATTTCATTTTACCGATATCATCTACAACTGAATGTTCTCGAGTTTCGGTCCTGCATTTTAAAAGAAAAATATTCCGTTAAGTGTATGTATTACTGGCAACATTTTACCACCATTTTTATTTAAAGTTAGATATTGCACGTACTGTTTTCAAAAGGGTTTTCAAATGCATTGCCTATTACTCTTAAAAAATATACTCATGCAAAGCACTTTAACATCAGCGGAAATCCTTTCCTTCGGCGTAAGAGCATTAGACTCATTTAGACCATAAAAGGCTCTGCAGGGCTGGGGCTCAGATGATCTCTTGGTTTGATCCCAGTCACACTGTCGACCGAAGGCTCCGAAAGTTTGACCTACTTTTTGACTTCACATTTCTGTTGTGGAATTTTTCGATCTCCCTAGCCATGAATGCCTCCCATCGCATTCAGCTAGGTGCTTTATTGAACACTCGGAAAGGTTGAGAGAACTTGATGACAACGGTACACGGGCGACCTAGTCATATTTGTATTTGAAGGGTTGTAGGGTCCTGCCAACTTCCATACTAATTTGCCTCACCCTACGAACCTTATCGACGGGGGAAAGTCGTGGCACGGGGCAGTCTCGGCCACCAACTTTCCCCGCAGCCGACGAGGGTGGGGACGATTTAAGTCACGGCGAAATGCGCGTCGGATGCAGCCAGTGATTTTTTAAAACTCAATGAATATTGAATTCCACTACCGATGGTTTCGTTTTGCTTATTATCTTTTTACTCGTTCCTCCCCTGGTGACTGCCCTCCTGTCCATGACGCCTTCCAAACGATTCAAGTAGTCTAAACTTAGTTAGTTATCATCCTGGCTGCTGAACTCACCATACTAATTTTTCGTATGTTGATTTAGCAATCACTTTTTATTTTTTTATTACCATAGTTCTCGCTGAATGGCACTAAATTATTAGAGTTTTTCGTTTTAAGTAGGGTACTCAAAGGCTCACGTCTTTTTTCTCTCAATAAACTGAGCTGAACTGGTGGTTTGAGCGAATAAGTACCAAGCCCACAGACCAGCATACTAAAAATTTTGACTAGGAATTTTATTCAACGACTAGTTCAATCCTGTCCAGACTATTAAGGGAAATGGGCGTGGGTTTCTGAGTAACCTATTTGCGACGGTAAGTTGGGTGCGGTGTACAGAGAAAAAGTATGAGTTGGAATAATTAAAATGGGTTTATAATATTATGACAAATTGGGCGCGAGTCTCAGGGGTTTAGAGTTATTTATGATGCCTGGTGATTAATGAGCATCGGTTTCATATGGTCTTTTCATGTACTGAACAGCTTGATAATATGTCTTTTTGGTGAATGGTGTATTTCATTCCCGTCAAGCCGGTACCTCTATTCGAGAAGCGATTTGTTTGTCTTAGTGAAAAAACGGTGGCAGACTTGAAGGTCGCTCTTGCGCCAAGTAGTTGCACTTGTTATTCCCTTTTATCCAGTTTTGACAGCAATGGCAAAGAAATCCTACGATCTTCTGTTTAAATTAATGCTGATCGGAGATTCTGGAGTCGGGAAAACATGCATACTTTTCCGTTTCGTGGAAGACTCCTTCTCGTCCTCATTTATATCGACTATCGGTATTGATTTCAAAATCAAGACTGTCGAGTTAGATGATAAACGGATTAAACTCCAGGTTCGCACCTAGAAAGGATTAACTGTCACATTCCAGATCTGGGATACTGCCGGTCAGGAAAGATTTCAGACGATCACTGCCTCTTACTACAGGGGTGCAATGGGAATCATGCTCGTTTATTCTGTAACATCGAAAAAGTCTTTCGAAAACATCGCCAAATGGATGTCAAACATCAAGAATTTGGCATCATATGAAGTGGAGACTATTATTGTTGCAAATAAGGCTGACATGACTCAACAAAGAGAGGTTTCCTCAGAGGAAGGCAAAGAAGTTTCTAAAAGATACGAGGTATGGTAGCATATTCCCGCAGATAATTTTGTTAGGTTAAACACTTCGAAACCAGTGCAAAGCTTGGGACAAATATTAAAGAGGCTTTTATGGAACTCACAAAGGCTATCCTTGACAAACAGCCAAAGGATCAAGACAGTTCCCAACGTGGACAAACCTATCGCCTTTCTGAACCATCCCAGCGCCAAAACCAGAGCTGTTGCAATTTCTAATCGTCTGCAAATCATTAACTCGCAGATCGCCTTCAAAAGCCCCCAATGTCTGCTTTGTTTGGATCAAGTTAATGTCTGCCAGTCCAGAGCTCTTACGAACTACATGTGGCTCAAACTGTCTGTCGGTCTAATTTTCGCCAATTCATTTGCACGTCCCCAACTTTCCGGTGTACCTACTGTGATTTTTCCGTTTCCCAATTGTCAAACCTAGCATTCGGCGCCTTGTTTTAAGTCTTCTTGGCATTAAGTTCCGATATTTCGACACAAACCTTCTTGTAAATAAAGTTCGCCCCTTCCGTTTTATTTAATTAATTTGACACAGCTGGTCACTTTTGCGTCATCAAGTCTTGGTCTCCTAATTGTGCGGCCCGGCATTGTGCCCAAGGCTGCTCGACGTCCCCGACTGTATGTACTCAAACGCAATACATTTTTGAGGTCGTCGCACGAGTATGCGTTCTCCGAGTTTTTGATGTTTTGAATTCCATTGATGTTTGTCCCGTAGCATCCTTCTTAAATATCCCCTTAGGAAACGGTTGAATCGTTTCTGAACATAATGAAGAATCTATCATGTGTATGACTGCAATATTTAAACGAACCCGGTCCGCTGCTAGACTTTGGTAAAGATTAACGAGATCGGATGTGTTACGCACACTAGTTTATAATTCAGTTTACCGGCTTTTTTCTAAACTACTGCATCTTTTACCCTAAAGAGTACGTGTTCCGACACTTAACGAGTTATTATTTTTGCTGCCTTATTTTAATTTACTTACTCGTCTTCATTCTCTCTCGCGGGTCTCCGCCCGACTTATGCTGTCTCCATTTTAGACGAACGTAATTTTCGGACAAGACTGTCACCCAACATCCAATTTGCCAAGCATTTGGTGCAGATATGGTCTCAGCTGATCTTGCGGGCCTGCGTGATGTCATGAATTGTACCGCTCTGCAGCAATGAATTCAGAGGACCGGGCCCATTCTCTCCCCCAGCAGCGGAGACCGAATATAGAAGGTCCGAGAACCACTTTGGCGTCTTGGTGAACTCCGTCATCCCATATTTTGTGCTGAACTCTTCGACGACTCCAGCTGAACGACGGTGCCGGAAATTGGGGAGCACAGATTAACTCGTGAGACTGTTTTCAGAGAACTGCCCAAGTCACCGCAGTCGCCGCCCCTTGATGTTCTAGTGTTGTCGTAACGAGTGCTGAGTGTGTCATTGAGAGCGAAGTCAGTCGAATTTACGCGAAGGATGATTCTCAGGAAACGGTCGTCAATTACTGCCAGTTTCCGTTCATTTCCGCGCACACCATTGAAGGGTGTGCAGGAGAACTGACCAGAAGGATGCCCGGTATACGCAGATTTCTTGCGGCGATGGAGTTGTCGTGTCAGCCCTCAATGTGGTGGTGTCTTCAAGCCAGGTATGCAGCTCGGATACACCCTGGTATTCCTAACGTCTATGGGTTAGCCGACTGGTCTAACCACTTCATTCATCCATTACACCACAGTCTGCCGGTCATCAAAGCTTGGGTTTAACGAGGCAATATCGTCAACATGGTCGAGATCAGTCAGCCGGCACCTGAGTGCAAATTCAACATCGTCAACTCTCTATAGGGTCCATTTGAAAATCTAGCCAATGGCCTAATTGAACAGAATAGGCAACAAATTGCAACATTGTTTAACGCCAGACCGGACATTGAATGTTTGGAATTGTTGTGGTCAAGGACTCACGCAGTTGTGGAGAGATAGTAGGCCCTGGTATATGCCAGCATAACGTCTATTGCCATTGTACACCCCAGGGACTCACAGTGGACCGAATCAAACGCTGCGACAAAGCCAACGAAGCAAGATGCGAATATCTGTTCGGCGTATATACGTCCACTCCGAAGCCCTACTTAGTTGGGTCTCATCCTTAAGTCACGTACACTAAAGTCTCCAGAGAACGGCAGCGGCAAAGACCTTTGAAACAGCATCGATGGGGCATAAGTCGCGGTTTTTATTGCACGTTGTCTTATCTCCCTTGAGTACAGGCACAAGGATACCCGAGCGACACTTATCAGGGACAGCCTCGGATCCCCCACTTGCTGAGTCTCCTCAGGATGCCAGTTTCGGCGCAAAATCTGTGGGTTTCAGTGGAAATATTATCCTTCCTGAGTGCCTTCTTGTGCGGCCTTCGTATTTCATCGGCGATTTCTCCCCTAGAAGGTGGCCATAGACTGGAGAAGAATAAATTTGCTGCATAGGAGGGCGAGGCCGTGACGAATTGATCATCGAAGGTGAGGAGGTACTCATGCCAGCGCCCGACCTTGTCCGAGTTTTCAGCAATAAGGCCGCTGTTCACATTGCGAACAGAGTCAGTTGGTGCGGAGAGATTACCAATAACTTGGCGGCTAATTTTGTGGAGTTTTCGAGTGTCGCCAACGTTTGAGGTCTGCTAACCTGAAGTCGCCATTTCAAGCCGACAATCTTTGCAGTCATCTTTTATCGACCTTGTCGTCATTCGTTGAAGTTGACATGAAGAATCATCGTTGCGGGATCAAAGTCGAGCCGTCTGGGCAGACAACTGCAAGAGTCTTCCAATGGTCCAGTCGCTGCTTCATCGTAGACTAATGACTTCAAGATTACCATTTACCAGCCCCTTCTTCGTCCCAGACTGCAAAGAAGGCTAAATTTCTGTGCTCAGGGTTCACGGTTGTGCTGAGTCGTAGTTTTGCAACATCAAGTGGTCTTGCACGTGACACTGGACGAGGATGAGATGCAAGCTTCTGATTTGCGCGAACATGGCTCTACCCATAAGCGTTGCCAGTTTCGGCATCACACATCCGTTCTGCTATCGGGGAACCAGCCGCGGAGTCTGGAACTGACTAGATTGTAGTAGATCTGAGTAGTCGTATGACCGTCGTTTGAATACCAGCTCAGCAAATATTTGTGACGATGTTGGAAGCATTTCTTTGTGGCAAACAGTCGGTTCCGATCGAGAAGTTCCAACATTCACTCATCGTTGTCGCGCCCAGAGCTGAGCCCAAAGCGTCCGATAACGTTGCCCTTGGAAGTCATGAGGTTTATTCTGGTCATTCCACGTCCCAGAAAATCATTCAGGGGAGCCACGGAGTATAAACTCAATTCATCGGGTGTTTACAGCTACTGGGTATTCTCTTAAACCGCGGGCGATATTAGTACAGAACAGTTGTCTTGTCCTTACGCCAATTTACTAGTTTTTTCGTTCTGTGGTTAATCGAACGCGGATTTCAATTTTTATTGCATTCGGTGGAAAACGACGTGCACGATGGGTTAATCCTCCTGTTACCACTTGTATGCTGTTTGCTTACCAGAAAGTCCGACCCAAGGAGGCAGAAGCCGTAGAAATTGTTGCTTTTTAATTTCCTCAGAAATAAACTGCCAACTTGCAGTAGATCAGTTTATATTAGACGCGGACCGGTGACACAGGACCTCCACGTGCAGTCACGCACCCGGACAGAGCTATTGAATGAACACAGCCTTAATAGACACTGGCGACATCAAAAAACTATTTCTCCCAGTACTCAGCATACCCCCTGGTCTCACCAACAGCCACTGCTACCCAAGTGGCGACTCAGGGTTCCATGCAAGACAATTCCTGCATTCTGATGTCTTCCGTTTTGTGTAAATAAAGGCCTGGCCTGATGACTGCCGGTTAACGCATATTCGGCACTTCCACTGTTACAACCAGGCGTTTACCCCACGCCCACCATACTTCGGTAGCAAGGTAATATCTAGAGGACTAGAGATGACATGAGCATAGTGGCAAAGGTTGATACGACAATTCGACCGTCGTTGCCGACGATGACCACCGTGTGCTCCACAACATGGTGAGGCAGGCACGGTGACTTGCGCGTGATTTAGTTTATAGTAAGTGTGGACTTGCACAGCATCTGCCGCGCCCTCGCCTCCTCCCCCACTTGAGCCCGGTGTCAAGGCGTAGTTAAGAAAACCAGACCTGGGAGAGAGCGCAGGTGGCTGGCGCGGCCGAAGCCGCACCTAGGCGTGCCGTCACATCCGGCTCGGATCCCACGGAAAAGGAGTGTCATAGAGGCCACATTAAGAAGGAGCCATTGCAGCATGACCCCTAGACCACCATTCGGCCGCTCCACAGAAGCACACGCTGGACCGACTGCGAGGTCTAAGTTATCCCATCAGTTGGCAACCTTCCAAGCCACGGTTTTTGGCGTACCGTGATAGCTTCAAACGCATCAGATTGTTTATAATGAGAAAAATGCGCTGAATCGTCGACCTCATTCTTTCTTCCCATTTCCAGGCCCAAGTCACTGTTCGAGCCGGTCAGTTAGCAGCTGCAGGGAATGGGCGCGGTGGCTGGCATATCTAGTGACCTCGCCTGCGACCGCCAGATGCACGACCTGATCCTCCAAACACGAGCATCCGGATTTCACACAACGGGGGTTGGACGGCATACGTGTCACATGCGTGAGAGTGCCGTAGGTCACGTTAAGAAGGAGCCGCTTCAACCTGGCTCTCGACCCACCTAGTCTGTCACTACACAAGCAAACACAACCGGGCAGACTGCGTGGACTGAGTTGGGGCGTCAGTCGGTAACCTTTCAAGCCACGGCGCCTGGCGCACCGTGATAGTTTAGGCTCTGAACACACATGCAGCAGAGGAGCCACATGGGGAAGTAGACGAGAAGCACACTTCGCACTTGCATGGGGGTGGTGATGGGTGATGTTGTGTGGTGCAGGTGCTGTTGGGAAGTGGTGTGATGGTGTGGTGTAGCCGACAGTTGCCTACCGCAGGTTTTCATGGATGAGCATGTGACATAGGCCCATTTGGTGGCTGAATGTGCAGGGACAGTGAGGGCAGTTGAGGCGAATGCGTCTGGTGTGTGTTGGTGCCCCAGGCACGGGTTTGCCAGTCTGTGCGATAGATTCGCATGTGACCGACCACGCCAATGTGTGGGGCAAATGCACGGGGCCAGTGTGAACAGGACAGGACAAGGCGGCGGTGTCAGTGTCGGTCTCGGTGGTGGTGGTGGCGGCGGCGGCGGAGCTGCTGGTTGTGGGTTGAGCTAGGCGTGGTGGATGCGCACGATGTACTGGGTGTTTCGAGGCTGTGATCGATTCTGCTCTCGTGGATACGCATGTGCCCTAGAAGACCCCATGCGGTGAGTGAATGTGGGCGTCCTAGGCACTGGTTCACCAGTCTGCGATCTATTCGCAAGTGAACCTACCAACACTGTGTATAAGGTGAAGGTGCGCTCGCAGTGAAGACAGGTATGGGCCGAGTCCACATCGCTGTTGTTGGTGATGGTAAGGGCGGTGTTTGTCGGGGTGTTCGGATTGAGTACAGTGGCGGTGGGTGCAGGAGCCGTCTAAGCGACTGTTGAGGCGACAGTGATGCGCTTGGCTTTGTAGATCGCTGCACCTGTCTTAAGTGCTCTTCACCAGGTCGGTCGGTCCCGGTCGAGGTCTTCCCAATTGGCCGGGTAATTTGTAGGCGCTTTAGGTAGATCCTCAGGATATCTTTGCAGGGCCGGATTTGACTTGTCGACGGGAACCCATGACGGTATCTCCAAAGAAAAATCGTCTGAGTAATTGGTCGTTGTCCGCGCGTGCAAGATGGCCGCCCCAGCGGAGTTACAATTGTCTCAGTATAGCAAACCTACCAAGGATTCCCGTCCGTTCCAATAGTCCGGCGATGTTGAGGGAAGGGTTGGTTGTCGCAGATTTGGCGATTTTCTTTTCGCTTGCAGAGATAGACGGTTCTGGCGTCCTTGAAGTCCTGGGGGACTTCTCTCTGACGCCACATCTCCTGGAAGAGCACCGTCAGGTGTTCCATAAACTGAGGACCCCCGTGCTTGCAGATCTCAGCAGGGATCGCGTCTGATCCGAGTGCTTTCCCGCTGGAGAGCTGCTGCACTGTCTTGATGGTTTCGTGTAGAGAGAACAGGAGCTCGAAGTCGGTGTTGGTCTCCACTCGAGGTAGACGGGCAGTCGCGGCGTCGGAGATGGTGAAGGAGCGGTTAGAATGCCTCTGAAGTGCTCCGCCTAGCGGTTCAGAATTTGCGTATTCTCTGTGAGTAGGGTAGTTTCGTCGGCGCTAAGAAGACCGGTCCCTTTAGCTGTGGATCCGTGGACAGCCTTGATCACAGCGAAGAATTTCTTCCATTCGTTGAGGCCCGCGCACCCTTGGATATCCTCGACCTTCCGAGCCGTCCAGGTGTTCTGCGTCTCCCGCAGCCGCTGTTGTAAAAGACGACGACTACGGTAGAATGCTGCTTGTTGTCACCGGTATGGCGATTAACGTAGGCTATGTGCGCTCGGTTCTTCTCAACGAGCAGGCTGCTGAAGGCGGCGTCATTTTCGTTGAACCAGTTTTGATTTTGGCGACGTGCGCGACCGAGGACAGCCAAGGCGATTGACTGGAACGTGTGGTTCAGTTAACACCACCGGTTCTCCACGGCGGCAACGGCGACGGACACTGGAGGTTTGGCCAGCCTTTGGGCTAGTTCACTGCTGAAATGGAGATGGTGAGCAGGCACATTCAGCAAAACAACATTCAACTTACTTGGTGGTTGCCTGCATTGAGGACTCCTGCGAGGCTGTGGGTGAATCTTCATCTGGGATATAACGAGTCGATGGTCAGCTCGTCCGACCCACCTGGGATCACCTTCCTCACCAGCATGTCATGATGGTTTGGCCTACGGGCGGGGATATGGTTAGCCGGCGCCAGTGTCACGACCGATGCTGCATCCAGGTCGCCTTCTCCCCTGTTGGTAGGCGTAAGGTGTTGGTCAGGATGAGGCGATGTCCTGCGCAGGTTCTCAGGAGGAGCAGACCACTGTCTTTGGAGTCGCTGTGGCAGTCCAGGCCTCCTTCCTCTACCCCGCTTTGTCATGCTGGCTCTTCTGTCCATCTCACTCTCCCTAACGATTCGCTGCTAGGACCGCGCGAGGCTTGTCAGTAGCCTCGCGAGTGCTCGGAGCCAAGTAACGTTGTCCTTTCTCTGGTTGGCCGGCGGAGACTGAGTCAGAGCGAAAGGCGCACGCACGCACTGGGGGCTGATCGCCTCAAAAGCGGATAGAGAACAACTTGCCTGGAGCGACAGCTTGTGTCGACTGCTTGGACAGCCTCTTGTACGCTCTGACACGCCAGTAAAGATTCTCCAACCCAATCCGTCTCACCCGACTTCTGAGTTGGGAATCTCTGCGTTTTCCCGCCATACCATATCGACACCGCCAAGGCCGAGGGGACCCAGCACTCCTCTCTAGTGCTGGCCGTCCCTAACCGCTCCCCCACCATCTCCGACTCCGCAATTGCCCGTCTACCTCGAGTGGAGACCAACACCGACCTTGAGCTCCTGTTCTCTCTACACGAAACCATCAAGACAATGCAGCAGCTCTCCAGCGGGAAAGCACTCGGATCAGATGCGATCCCTGCTGAGATCTGCAAACACGGGGGTCCTCAGTCTATGGAACACCTGACGGTGCTCTTCCAGGAGATGTGGCGTCAGAGAGAAGTCCCCCAGGACTTCAAGGACGCCAGAGCCGTCTATCTCTGCAAGCGAAAAGAGGACCGCCAAATCTGCGACACTCACAGAGTCACCTCCACCCCCCAACATAGCTGGGGTAATCTTCGCTCGCATTCTCTCTAGTCGCCGGAGCAGCCATTTGAAACTGGGACTTCTGCCTGAAAGTCATTTCTGCCTTCGGCATCACCGCAAATTAACGACGTGCTTTTCGCCACCCGCCGACTACAGGAGATTTGGAACTATCTTTCTTCTACCTCTATGGTTCTGATGCAAGCCACTGACACGATGAATTGTAAAAAATTATGGACAATCATGCAACAATTTGGCTGTCCCGAGCGATTCACTGAGATGGTGCGTTAGCTCAACGACGGCATGTCGTCGCGCCACGGTCAGTGGTGTCATCCTAGGGGCGTTCGGGGTGACCAACGGAGTGCAGTTGATTGCGTCCTCGCGCCAACTCCCTTCAGCCTAGTGTTCATTGCCGTGCTGATGGACGCCTACCGTGGCCAACGTCCCGGGATCCGCATCGTCTACAGGATGGACGGCCAACTCTTCAATCATGGGCGAGTACACTTCAAGTCGCATGTGTCCACAACTACGCCACTTCCGAAAGTGATTTTCAAATGGGCATGGACCTATTCGTCGCGGCTTGCTACAACTTCGGCCTGACAATCAGTACAGCGAAACGGCGGTTATGCACCAATCGTCACTAAAAGCCAAGTACAACTTTCCTCGAACCACTGTCGACGCAGCCAACTCCAATCGTAGACAACTGCGTCTGTTCAGGAGATGCACACTCGACCATCATAAACATCGACATTCAGGTAGCCCGCCGGATCTCTAAAGCCGGCCAAGCCTCCCGTCGCCTGCGGAACGCCGTCTAGAATCATCAGGGTCTCCACCTCAGCACTAAAATCAAGATATACAAAGCGGTCATCCTGCCGACGCTGTACGAAGCAGAGGTCTGTATGGTGTACAGAAAAGAGTCGCGGTATCTCAATCGCCTTCACCTCAACTGTCTTCGGCGGGCACTAAAGCTGAGATGGCAAGACTGAACTCCGGATACGGAAGTACTGGATCGGACGGAAATAGTCAGCATCCACGCCAATCGCAAGTACGCTGGGCGGCCACCTCATGCGCATGGACGACGAGTCTGCTCTCATTATACAGTGAGTGACCGATCTCATGAAATGTTGGCTGAAATTCTGAAAGCGTCTTCGATTAGAAAGGATTACTTCGTTGCAGTTGTAATACTGATTATCTTAAGGCATACTCTTATAACATTTCGGGCTTGGCAGGATGTCATCTTTTAAATGCACTTCTTTTCAATCTCCTGTAGAAAGCGTACTCGGTAAAAAATGACTACTTAAGTAGCATGCATTTTTCCCATTGATTTTCGATGGTCTTGCAAATTCAAATATATTTTATAGAAACCTTAAACAAAAATATGCTTTCTTTAGGTCAATAAATAGAGAATCACGTCTTCTTTATATTTTATACTTAAGGAGAGGGTATAATTAGGTTTTAAAAAGTTTCTATTTACGAGACTTTTTAAGACCGCGAAATGTCCACTCACATAGCATCGTACCTGGCCGTTTACCACTGCTCCTCATGAAATGTACAACATGGTCCGCATCAATTGCAAAATTTTATGGACTCTGTATGATACCTCTTTAATGGCATAGAAAAATATGTGATTTTCTTTGCGCGGAACGCATGCACCTTGTAGAGTGAAATCACTAAGCGCTAATGGAACGAATGATCAGGCTCCAAATTATTCGGAAATTAGAAAACTTTTTTAAAACCTAATAACACACCTTCCTTAAGTATAAAATATATAGAAGACGTGATTCTCTATTCATTGACTAAAAGAAGGCATATTTTGTTTACGGTTTCTATAAAATATATTTGAATTTGCAAGACCATCGAAAATAAATGGGAAAGATGCATGCTACTTAAGTAGTCATTTTTTACCGAGTACGCTTTCTACAGGAGATTGAAAAGAAGTGCATTTAAAAGCCGACACCCTGCCGAGTCCGAAATGTTATAAGATTAGGCCACATGATAATCAGTATTACAACCGCGACGAAGTAATCCTTCCTAACCGAAAACGCATCTCAGAATTTCAGCCAACATTTCATGAGATCGGTCACTCACTGTAAATTAATTCCTGTGTAAGTCACCATGGCTGCCTCGCTTTGCTGTGAAACACGCGGTGGACATCGTCGGTTGCAACGGTCGAATTTTCCGTGGTTGTTGTTGTTGTTGTTGTTGTTGTTGTTGTTGCTGCTGCTGCTGCTGCTGCTGCTGCTGCTGTTGTTGTCATTGTATTTGTGACAGGTGCGACGATGAATCCGTATGCGGAGACAGTAGGTGGAGCTGTCGTGTCGTTATTGCATGGGATCCGAGGATGTCCGACTAAGCCGATCCGCGCACAGAATGTCTTTTGACAGCGAAGACATGCTGAATCGGGTTGGGCGTAGGTGTTGTGGGTCGGAGTCGTTTGAGACCTGCGAGCCGATCTTTTGGCCTCGGCATCAGCGATTCAGTTGACTTCGTAGACTGATACTGCAGGCATCACTGCTCTTTTTCATGCCAGTCGATCCTGAGCGAGGTCCTCCCAGGCCTTGGGGTTGATTTGTAGACTCCTAAGGGAAATTTCCAGTGTCCTTGTAGCGTCGCTTCTGTCCCCCATGTTGACAGACGTGCGGTCCGACGTCGCCGTAGAGTAGCTGCTGGACTGGGCGCTCGTCGTCTACGGGGTGGCCGCATCATCGTAGTTGAATTTGTCCCAGCATTGAGTAGATGTTGAGGATTCTGGTTTGTTCTAGGACCCCCGTGTCTGGAACTCTGTCTAGTCACCTCAGCTTCAGTATTTTCCGGAGGCAGTTCAGGTGGAATTAATTAAGTTGCCTGGCCTGATTGGCGTAGACTATTCAGCGTCGTCAGGACTACCACACTGTGAATTTCGAGTTTCTTGTTGATTTGTTGTCGGTGGCGGTTCCGACATGGTGGAATTTCATAAATCCTCACCGAATCCTCCCATCTTTGTCAAGGATCATTGGCGTTTAATTTTCAGATATTAACTGAGCCCTTGCATCTTGCACATGCAAAATCTTCCTAGGTGTTACCTGCTTTTACGAGAGAAAGCTAACCGACATGAATCAGACCCTTGTAGCATGCCAACTTCTATGAAAGTTGTTTTTTCGCTGTAGACCGTGTTCGCACCCACCTGCAATGGTTATTGCATATGATTCACGAGTGTGCCTTCCCTCGAGGGTGAGCTTCCATTAAGGTCGCGGACGGTACCATGCCGTAAAAGTTGTCATATGATGTAAAGCAATGAGTATGCAAGTGAGGTGGAGGTTAACCCACAACCATTTGTGACTAAAGCTGCCACGTGACTATGACGTAATCTCAGCTTTGTCGCACTAATCGTCTCATTCTCAATCAGGGCTTGTTTCTCAGCGATGCGATTAGTGCCGGCAAATCGGTTGAAAAAGACGCAAAACAAGGCGCCTTTCCAGAAGTACAGTAGTCTTCTTTGGTTCTCCTGTTGGTGTTTAGTTTGGCCAAGTGAATAAGACTGTTATGGTGATCAGTTATCCGTGCACTTCCTCCCTCCCCTTCTGAGAGGCTTTACAAGATGACCTAAGGACAAAATCCGGTGGATTTTAGACTTATTCAGTTATGTTTTGGAACTCGTATTTGGGTTTTTAGATTTCGCCCATGTATCTCTTATCAGTGTTTTACCGCCTAAAGAGCCATCTAATTTCCACTGCATCTACTTACACCGGTAAGCATTGGCCAAAGGGTATGGGAAAAATCGGCGCGCAGTAAGAATTTAAAATCTGAAGAAATCGGGAATGTCTTAGGGTGAGCTTGAAGTGTTTCCGTTTATGGGACGAATCTGTCATTTACTTGTCGGCCAGGTCTTGTTTGCTTAAAATTGGTGCCTGTAACTCCCATCTTATTTTGATTCCCACTTTTCGAAACAGGCGCTTGAGATTCTGATAAATAATTTTAGCGTGTTATGCATATGCCTTAAAGTGGCAAATCATGCGGGAATGTACGGAACTGAATTTGCTTTTCTACTGCTGTTGTATGCATCGTATATATAGTCAACTAACCATATAATACGATATTCAGAAGTTCTGACTCATTGGTTTGTTTCCTATCCCATACACACATTTATATACCTGACACGTCACTGCTTTCACTGTAGTAGAAAGATTAATCAGAGTACAGTTCATACGCATGGCTGCTACACTGATATTCACCGTGTCAATTATTTCCTGAAAATTCACATTCTCCCTTCTAACAAGGTCATTTTGCTGGCATACTCGTGTAGTGACACAACTTGATTC